CTGAGCCGGGTTTTGAACCTTTGCACTCGGTTTATATTCACGATAAATGTGTTTTATCTACATAAAAATAAATAAAGTCAGATGAGGTCACAGATAAGTTTTTTTTTTGTTGAACAATAAAACCAGATGACTAATTTTGATTTTTGATTATGTCGTTAACTTTAACGACTTTGTAGGTTACGTCACCACTTGTACGATATGTACAAATAATGAATAACATTTTCCGGTTTTTATTTACAAAAGAATTGCATGTTTGCATTCGTGAGAGAATATTTATATATATATATATATATATATATATATATATATTTGTATTTATATGTAAATCTATTTTTCTTCCACTTAATGATCTATCTCGTGCTCTGCAATTTTCTCAGCAGCATATAGCATTTAATTAAGAATTAAAAGCAATCAAATTAAAACTTTTATTCGCTTAATTAAAATGTAATTACGACTTTATTAGCTTAATGGTGATTATTTACAAAAGCCAGAGAAAATCTATACGGATAGGAAAACTGATTGCCTTCGGTAATGTTATTATTCTTAAGAAAATAATAGATCTAGGAACCAATTCCCGAAAAAATATTACGGATTTATCTTTGTATGAGTTGGTAGTCACAAACTGTAAAAAATTTAAGTATTTTTTACACATAAGACCTAACCTCCAAAACGCACAAAGGTCTAGTAACAATTTTATCATAAGTGCAACTTCCTGGTGTCTCATTGATAACGCATGCGTGAAGTTAGGTTTTATGAGTAAAATGCCTCAAATAGTTTTTTGACAGTTTGTGACTACTAACTAATTAGTTTATATTTGCCAATGAATGATTTAAAATCTTATTCATTTGTTTGTTTAATTGTATTGTGTTCCCATTATCAAACTGAACACATTTATGCACATTTTGTTGATAACGAGGTTACCGAACTTGCACGCATTATAATAAACACACATTTATATATATATATATATATATATATATATATATATATAGGACAAGCCCGTGATATCTCTGACAAATGAAAGTTTTTCTATTATTATGCAAACTAATTTGAACGATCCGACTTTTGCGGTAAATGCTAAATTTATCATATCCCACATCTAAAATAATATTACAATTTAAATTTATATAAACTATGCCAATTTATACATAATGCTAAGTCTAATTTTTTACTTACACATCATTTTTATTAGTGCTCTTATATCTGGATGCAAGTCCGTGCGTCCGAAATCGTCGACCAAAGATTGTATCCGCACATACACAAAAGATTTATCACACTGAATTAAATATAAATTTTAATTTATTATTGTAATTTTTAGTTCTATAGTAGTGTATTTTTAATTTTAAAATACATTTTTATCGCTAAAGATTGGAAAGTCTAAAAAAACTACAGAATAGCATTATTAATTGTTGAATATGTTCATAGAGGCGCGCCGGTATTGAGCCGGGTTTTAAACCTTTGCACTCGGTTTATATTCAAGATAAGTGCGTTTCATCTAAATAATAAATAATGTCAGATAAGGTCGTAGATAAAGGTATATCGTTAGTAAATTTCACTTTTTTTAGTTAAAACAATAAAATTCTGAAAAAAGATTTATCGCTTTGTTAATGAGTTAAATTCTAATTTATTATTATAGTTTTTTGTTTTTTAAAAGTATACTTTTTAATTTCAAAATACATTTTTATCAATACTGATTGAAAAATGTTAAAAAACTGCAGAAAAGCATTATTAATTGTTGAATGTGTTCATAGAGGCGCGCCGGTTTTCAGTTGGGTTTTGATCCTTTGCACTCGGTTTTTAAATTCAATATAATTGTGTTTTATCTGAATAATAAATAATGTCAGATGAGGTCATAGATAAAAATATATAGTAATAGTTAAATAGTAAATGTCAAATTTATTATATTCCACATCTCAAATAATATTGCAAATTAAATTTATATAAACTATGCCAACAATTTATAAATAATGCGATAATTTTATACTTGTATATCAGCGCTCTTCAAAAGTCCGTGCGTCCGAAATCGTCGACTAAAGATTGTATCCGCACATACTCAAACATCAATTTTTTTCTACAATATTAAGAAAACTATGAGAACAAAAGTGTTTTACCTTATTTTAGTGTTATCCGCACTCAACAGAGCGTCTTCTGTGCCCAAATTTTTCCCTTTTTTTTAAGGAACTGATATTCTTTCTACAATACACGTACTTTAACAGTTAATGAAAGTGTATTTCTGCTCTAGAAGTCTAGACGAACAATCAACTTAAAAAAATATCTAGAATTAAACCCAGGGGTAAATTTACATGCTACACATATGGTGGCGCACTCTAAGGAGAGTGAAAACAATTAAAATAGAAGTGACGACAAATCAACCGTGTTTACGATTTATTTATACTTATTTTATTTATGATAGAAATATATAAAAAAACATTTGCGATATTTTTACATATTGCTGCATTTTACCCTACAATAAATTATTTGTATGTATTTCTAAGGATATTTTAGTATGTTGTATAGGAATGTTTGTATGAATATGTATATATGTTTGAATGTTGGTTCACGATGAAATTGAAGTGTGTGTGTGTATATATGTGAGGTGGTTTTTGCATCTAACAACGAATAATGACACATTGGAATGCTACGTATTAACCGGATAACTTATATGGAATAGAATCTACACATCACATCACATCAACATTATTATATTCTATCTACTCTAGGATATATACATACATACATATATATATATATATATATATATATATATATATATACATTACCCTTTAAAACTCATTTCCATTAATCCCTTGCACCCTTCACAAATGTCTTAGCATTAGGAAGAAAAAAATGCCATGACATTATTAAAAGAAACTTATGATGTACATTATGAGAACTTCCTAAAAAACTAGCTGTAAGTGGAATTCTGTCTTGAGGCAATTATGGCATCGTGCCTTAAGGCAAATTGCTGGAACTTCCCGTACCGTAACGAAATGTTCGTGGAATACTGAATGTTTTCAAATAGATTATTATAAATATTGTAAAATTGTCTAATATTTATAAGAATTATATAAACTGAATTGCAGAGTTGAAATTATTTGTAAAGTATATTAGTACTATAGTCAGAATTAAAAATAAAATCTGAAATATTTTCGATATAAAAAAAAACTAAAAAAAAAAAAAAAAAAATTGGAACAAAATTTTTTTTTCCAAAATCAATTATTTTGTTAAGACAAGCAGAAAGTTCTTTGAATCATTTAAATCGGACGCTTAGTTCCCTTAAAAATTGCCATTTTTTACATATTTAGCTCCGTATCTTCAAAATGGCTGGGCCTGCCTTTGTCAAAAACTAATAAACACTTCTCCTAATCATTACTAATTGAATGTTTTTTAGATCATTCAAATCGGATACTCCGTTCTCTCAAAAATTCGATTTCTATTTTCTGCACTCTTTGCTCCGTATCTCCGAAACGGCTGGACCTGCCTTTGCCAAAAACTAATCAGCTCTTTTCCCTATCAATAGGAATCGAATGTTTTTTAAACCATTCAAATCGGTTAATCCGTACGCCCGAAAACGTGGGCGAAAATTTGTATCCATACATACATACACACTCACACACACACACACACACACACACACACATCCATTTTTTCTGAGGTATGCCAAAACGTTCAGAAACCTTCAAAACGTCGAGAAATGTAAAAATTTTCAATTCCGATTTTCGGCCCATTACAATAACTTACCCTACGGGAAGTTAATAACTAATGGATATTTAACTTCCTTTTCTTTTGGCCTAAAAATAGTCACTAAGAACGATTTTAATATTTTTTATATTTTTATTTTTTTTTTGTGTTTGAAATAAACTTGCCATAAAGCAGAGCGAGTAAGGTCCACCACGGATATCTCAAAAATATGTAAAGTTCAGAATTTTTTGACTACAATATTTGAAAGTAGAGGGTAAAAGGTGTATAACCAGCTATCATCTTAGTTTTTCTGATTGTGAGCACTGTTGTTTAGTTTACGAGACCTTAACACAATTTTTAAGTATACGTTATTTAATTGTTTTATGTTAATTTTAAGTTAGATTCAACTTATATAACTTTTATAAAAACTTACACTTGTGTAAGGTAAAAAGTATCAAATGAGACTTTGCTCTTTCTAAGGTATTTTTTCTAAGGTATGTCAAAATGTTCAGAAACCTATGAAACGTGAAAATATGCCAAAAAAATTATTTTCGATTTTTTTGCGATTACTATAACTTACCTTACGGGAAAGTGATAACTCTTCCGAAGTATTTTAAAAATTAAAATTTCCAATTCATTCTGTCAACAGATAGTTTGTTTTATAAATGTATGAATTGAAAAATAGTAAAAATCTAATGTTTTTGTCTGCTCTCCTTTTAAAATAAGTATCTGCGATTAAATGATAATAAATCAAAAATGAAATGATGATAAATCAAAAGTTTGTTTGCAAATTTTATTAGTGTATACATATACATTTCATACGAAATGTTATATTCATAAATATATTCACGTGCTATAATAGTACTACGAGAAAGATTCTCAACGTAACCTATTATTATTATCATCAAACGAAAACCGGTTTTCTTGTTATTTGAGAGTCTAAGAATGGCGAAAAAAAACTTTTACAACTCGTCAGTTTTTTTTGTTTTGCGCCAAATCGATTTAATTTATCGATCCACGAATATTTGTGTCGGTGGCACAGATTTTCATATTTACATCGATTTAATCAATTAAATCATACCGATTTTGGACTGCATATCGAATTACAAAAAATAAGAAAGAATATATTGTTTATTAAAATTACATTTCGACGCCTGATGTGTGTCATCGAGTAGCCAGTCAAAAACGTTATTCATTTCAGATATAATGTTATTTTTCAACATATTTTTAATTTTTTCAAATATGTTACGAATTGTAAATGCAATCAAGATTCTTATTTTAAATCGAGGTTTATTATTGATATTTATTATTTTTTTCAGATCCCGAACCTGCAGGCATTCCATCAAAACTTCCAAAAAAGCCTCCTTACAATTGGGAACCTCTGTTTTGTGTCCTGATTCAAGACGAACAGACTTTTGCTTCATACTGCAGTGAAGAACTATCGGTAAACTTTTTTTTTATATTACTTTTAAGGCAAAATTACTAGAAATTAGATAATATATAAATAAGTAATATGAGAATATTCACAAATCTATAAAAGAAGATCGAGAAACTTGATTTAATTATTTTTAAATTTTAAAACCGTTGCGTAGTGTGCTGTAGTACTTCAAGATAGCAGCACGTTTATACGCCATTTGTTTTAGCATGAACTTGAACCATTTTGGAATAAACTTTATACATATTACTTAATTATTTACATATTACTCAATCATTTATATATATATATATATATATATATATGTAAATATATTACTTAATTATTTAAGTTTATTGAATATTAATTCAATAATATTTTTTATTGTGCTGCTCTGTGAAGATTTTTCCAGTGACGCCCAATAGAGACATCAAGGTAAAACTTCGATGTTGTGTTGTTTGTTGTGTTAGAAATTTAAATTGTTATTTATTATTATCGTAGATAAACGAGTATTAATAGATGGCAAATACGGCCACTTTGAAATTACATCGATTTTAGTTCTTGCAGCATATCATAGATGTCGCCACCAACCGTAGCACGTAAATTCACCCTTAGGTTTAAATCTAGGATAAGATTTATATAAATATATAATATAGAAAAGATAAACCTGATTAATTTGACTAAATGAGAACAGAATATATGCGTATAAAATATATTTTAACAAAATCACTAATATGTTGTGAAATGAGAAAAAATTTAACATTTTTTCATTCAAAAAAGATATATTGTATCTATATACAAACTTGGTACTGAAACGTTTAAAGTACGTGTGCTATATCTAGAGAAAATGTTTTAAAATAAATCCCGAAGCACACTAGCACCATCTATGATATGCTGAAAACACTCATGCACCGTAAAGTGGATTTGTTCTAAGTTTACCCCACTTGTTTATTACTATCATTTATTTAAAGTCAACATAAAGTGTTTAAATCGACTAATGCAAAATATTTCAACCTCGATTTAGCCAAAAATTTTGAACAGATTTTGAAAATTCTAAAATTGTTCGAAAGATATCAGTTAAAGATTGTGCTGATCAGTTTTTGGTAAAGATCGGCCAGGCCATTTCTTTGTAATTAACTATTGAATTCATGGAACTTTACTTATTGTTAGTGAGCCAGTTTTTATATGTGATGTCTCGAGGTTTAAGTATCTGCTCTTGAGATTTATACGCGCGGTAGATGGCAATACTATTTGATTTCATGAATCTGTGAATGCAGCATATAATAAAAGAAAACAAATAAACTTTTTATTGTTTTTCCTGGTGTAGTATGTATCAATTTTTTACTTATTTTCATTTTATCTTTTAATCTATAATATATTTTAAATTTTTTTTTTTAAACTTTGTTAAATTCTTTTAGATACTGTAAAAAAATTTTAAGATACTTTAGTCCAAAGCCTCGGAGCTTGCACATTTCACAAGTCGTGGCAGAAATTACTTAATTTTACTCACATTTTTGTTCAAATAAAACTATCATTTTTCTTTTTACATCATACAAAAATTAAAAAAAAATGCATGGTGTTGAAAAATTAGTTGTATAAATGTTAGTGCTAATTTCTAGTGTTTTGTACACATCTTTAGATGTAACCTACCAACGTTAATATCCACTGATGATGACATTAAATTGAATGTCGAAACGTTTGGAATTAAAGATTAATTTATAAATCTTTGCTTTTCTTTTTTTGATGTATCGCCCCACAAGAACTTACTCATATATCTCAACATCAAAATTAACAACTAAATCATATATATATATATATATATATATATATATATATATATATATATATATATGCATTATAAATGATTCAATATCATATGAAATGCAATTTAAAACGTGATGCCATTATCGTTTTCCATACAATGATGTGAAACGTCTTTCAATTACAAAAATAACATGCAATGAGGAAGTAATATATAATAAAAACAAGTAGGTATAAGTACTATTTTGCCTTAAGGCAAGTTGCACGAACTTCTCGGCACGTGCAGATAGAACACTTACTCAATAAAATATGAATAATGTTAATTAATTTAGTGTTTTTTATACAAAGGATTTATAATTATTCCTAGTCCTCTAACTTTATTCCTCAAGTTAATCTTTTTATTTCTTTTCAAATATCTTTCATAATTTAATCTTATTTCATTTAAATTAATAAGCATTGTAAAATTATTGTATTTTTAAGCCTCCTTGGAAGAACTATGTAGGCTATATACTTAATAAATAAATAAATAAATGAAAAATGCCTGAATCAGAAGAATATTTTACCATGTTCCTTAAAAATAATAAAACAAATTAAACATTTGTGCCGTGTACTAAACGTAAGTTCATTGATTAGAAATTATTTCTATATTTTTCGTACTTTTTATAAATCTTTGAAGTTATTAAAATGGAGAATATTGTTTAGGCAAAACACATATTACAGCTGTTTAAAGAATGAGATTATATCCCCAGCGAAAAATTAAAAAAATAATAATAAAAGCAGTCAATGAATGTATGTTAATTTTAATTACATGAAGTTCTTCAAACACAATTATTACATGATGAGTGAAGTTGCGAAAACAATATTTGTTTAGGCGTTGTTTAACATAACCCAATGAATGTATAGAATTTATTAATCAGCAATTACTTCATTTCTCTAATAAAGGTTTGAGTCCTAAATGCTAATTACAATGACAAACCGATCATGTCGTATTTGAAGTATGACTTTAATTACATTATTGTTTTTAAATATTATACGAGGTGTGTTCAAAAAGTACCCGGAATTACTAATAATTAAATTTCGCGGGTCTGGAGTGTCTGATTGTCAAAATTTTTTTTTTATTGTGTTGGTATACATGCCCCTAAAGTATGATGAAATTTTCAGCTATATTCACTGTTTACTTTGTCTGTGGTAGTCGCTAAGGTTCGACGTTTTTTCTGAGCTCGGCGATTTTACAATGGAAGAATTGAAAAGTCAAAGAATTTGTATTAAATTTGCGTAAAAATGAAATAAAGTGTTGCAAAGTGCAAAAATTCACCAGATATGGCTCCGTGTGACTTTTTCCTATTCCCAAAGTTGAAGAGACCCATGAAAGGACGGCGGTTTTCCTCGATTGAAGAAATAAAGGCCGAATCGCTGAGAGTGCTCAAGGACATATCAAAAAGTGAATATCAAGGGTGCTTCGAAAATTGGAAAAAACGCTGGCATAAGTGTATTATATCTGGGGGGGACTACTTTGAAGGGGACCACATTAATGTAGACGAATAAATAAATATTTTTTTGAAAAAACGAAAATTCCGAAAACTTTTTGAACAGACCATGTACATATTTTGTATGCTTTTATAAATATATAATTTATAATTTATCATTATATAAATGTGTATAATGGTTGGCACTAATAAATGTGTGCATCACGAGTGTCACTTAATATCTACATATTTATAAAAATAAGTCAGGTTTTCCTTCCTGACGAAATAACTCCAGAACGCACGAACCGATTTCGACAATTTTGCATTCGTTAGAAAGGTCTCGAGCTCCGCAAGCTTCATAGCTAAGAAAATTAGTGGTGCATGGCATCGTGCCTTAATGCAAATTGCTAGAACTTCACGCATAGTAATTAAAAATTCGAGTAATGACATTAGTGAGAATTATCAGAATTATGCTCGGTTAAGTCAACGAACAATTCTTGCCGCAAAGAATAATGATGTACACGCACTGAATTTCACCATTCAATCAAAAATTGCTGGCGATTTGGTGACATACCAATGATTCCGACTGGTCTTCCGTTTGACTTCAAACGATTGCAATTTCCAGTTCGCCTTGTGTTCGCAATAACAAGTCGCAAGGCCAATCGCTTAGTGTTTGCGGGATAAATTTCAAGTAGATTATTTAGAAAATCATTGTTTTTCATATGGGCAGTTATACGTTGCCTGTTCACGAGTTGGAAAACCATCCGCTTTGTTTGTGTTAACGTCAGACCAAAAAACAAAAAATGTGGTTTATCAAAGAGCACTTCAATGAAATGGATAATTTGTGGATTTACTTTCATTTATTAAGAGAAGTTCAACTAAAATACACTTCATTTTTGTAATCGAAATAAATTCATTACTGCTGTGCAATAAAATCAAATTTTTCCTTTTCAAATATAAAACAAACAAAAAATTTCTTCATCTTTCTCACGAAACCATCTGGTGGCGAAACGGAGTTCGTTGGGTTTGCTAGTAAATATATAATTTATATAATTTATCATTATATAAATGTGTATAGTGGTTGACACTAATAAATGTGTGCATCACGAGTGTTACCACCATATTACTGATGAACTTACTGATGAAATATTCAAAGTTGTTATAAAAAAAATAAATACATCGTTATTTTTACTTAAATGCCATCTTGTACAGTAGCAATCAAGTTTTACTTCAATCTTATTATTATTAATTATCTATTTCCAGCTGGGTGCTTTATTCTTCGGCTCCGAGCTCCCCCGCGTCCGCCTCGACAGCCGCTCGCCCTGCAACCACCAACCATTCATCAACGATGACGTATCATCATCATCATCGTCCTCCAACGGTTCAGCATCGATTCTCAACTGTCACCGATTCATCATCGGCAATAACAAAAATTCATCATCATCATCATCCGATCATCAACAAGACCGATTTTGTCTTAGAACAAAACAAGCCACAGTTCGCGAAGAGGACGAAGAAAATGATGATAACGATGATTTTACCTTGATGGCGATTATTGATGATGATAAGCAGTGTGGTGATGATTATAGGCGTCATAATAAGATGATGAAGAATAGTGATTTTTCTGATGATAGTTCTACTTTGAAAAGTGATAGGTCGGTGATGAGAAATGAAGATGGTTTCGATGATGCAAATGCGATGATGATGAAAATCAGACAGCAGCAGCAGGTCGGTGACGCAGAGATGGCGCCAGGAGATAGGTGCGTGTCGGAGTGCGTCAGCATGGGAGCTTCATCGGATTATAAAGGTTAGAGTAATATTTATTTTGTAATCAGTAAGTAATAGTAATTATTAGTAAAAATCGGCAATGAAATTATTTTACTACTAGATGACCCGACAGACGTTGTCCTGTACCCACGCATACAATTTTTTAATATAATATACTAATAATTACCGTTTATCCAAAAACAATAATTATTGTCTTGTAGGCATGCAGATATTTCATTTTTCTTATTCATAATCATGAATTTGTTATACATATTCTAATATTGGATAGGTTCATAAGTGAATTGAAATTTTTGGCAGATGATAGTTTTCATTTATTTTCAATGCAAACAATGACATGTCGTGTTTGGCATTTTTTTCCATTTATTTCTACAATATTGCACATACATTCCAGGACTTTATAATCACATACATCCTAGAAAATTTCCTTAACAAACTTCAGAAAGATTTATCAAAATTCGAATAATCGTTTAGAAGGAGTACACAGTGAATGCTTGTAATTTAATATGAACTTTATATAATAGCAATAAAGCTCAAATTGATTCTACGTTTTAGTTAGAAAACGTTTATATGTGAAACAGAAAAGGGCTGTTTTTAGGGTTTTCCCGGCAATTTTTCGATTTTTTCTTGCCGTACGAACCATCCTTGGACTTCAACGAACATTTTAAAAAAAGATTTGGCCAAATCGGTCCAGGCGCTGTTGAGTTATGCGCTTACCAACACATTTTGCGATTCATTTTTATATTATAGATTAGAAGTTTCTGAAACTAGTGGGGTGTATGGCATCGTGCCTTAAGGCAAATTGCTGGAACTTCCCGTACCCAAAAAAAAATTTACTTTGAAAAAATTACATTTTTGAGAAACTATAATTTTTTTTTTTTTTTTTTTGTTACGATTTATTTTTGTTAATCAAGACTAACTATAAATTTGACAAAAAAAAAACAAAAAAAACAAAAAAAAAAAAATGAAAAAAAAATTTCATTCAATAAAAAAAATGGTCAAATTCAAAATCCATTTTTTCTAAGGTATGCCAAAATATTCAGAAATCTTTGAAACATAAAAGATCTATAAAAATTTTCATTTTCGATTTTTTTGCGATTACTATAACTTGCCCTACGGGAAGTTAAAAATGGATGTATGTGGTGTATGTGTGTGTATGTATGTGCCGATACAATCTTCCTTGAACAATTTCGGGAACACGGTTCAACCGGTTTGAATGATTCAAAAAACATTTTTTCCTTTTGATGGAGAGACGTGCTGATGAGTTTTTTTTTGCAAAAATTTGCAATTTTTGAGATAACTAAGCGTCCGATTTGAATGATCTTAAAAAACTTTCTGCTTGTATTGACATTTGCTTTTGAGGATAAAAAATTATTACATCTCATTTTATTTTCCATAATTTATTTTTGTAATTTTGGATTAAAATTTCAAAAAATGCCCCAGGCTAAGCACAGTCTAAGCGCCACTCTAGTACAAATGTTTATCCAAGTGCGTTTAGACTGTTTATGTACTGGAGCACTTTTCCAATTCTAATTTTGTGAAAACTATTGAAAAATGTGAAACTGCCGCCAAGCTAAGCACAGTATAAGTGAAAATGTAGCACAAAATTATTTGCAAATGCGTTTAGACTGTGCACTAAAACTTTACGAAATAATTAATTTTTATAATTAATCTACTTTTTATAGGCCTTTTAAAAATTTTACAATTATTTTGGTTTATCGAAAATTTAGTAAATCCTAAATCTGGTTAGGATTTTTGCTAAATTTGAAAAAGTGTTGATTAAATATCATTAATTGGAACAAATTTAATTATTAGAAGACTATATACTTAATTCTTATAATTAAACTACTGTTTATGGGCATATAAAAATTTAAAAAAATTAAAAACTTGGTTCGAGTCTTAGCTAAATTTCAAAATTTTGTCATATGTCAGGTGTGGTCAAGTGCTTGTACTCAACTTTGCGACTCCTATTTTTGTAATTAAATTACTTTTTATTAAAAATTCATATAATCATTTTGGTTTATCGAAGTTTTATCAAAATTTTAGGTCAAAGTTTCAGCAAAACCCTAAGCATGGTTCGGATCTTTACCAAAATAATAAAATGTTGGTTGAATTTCATTACTTTTACTACATAATAAATGAGAAAAATACGATTAATTATAAAAAAACTGTATAATTAATTTTTATGATTAATCGACTTTTCATGAGCATATAAAAATTAAAGAAAATTAAAAACCTGGTTCGAGTCTTCGCTAAATTTAAAAAAATTCTTGGTCAAGTCTTACACGTTCGAAGAGTGCAAAATTTTTAGTAAAATCCTAAACCTGGTTCGGATCTTTGCTAAATTAAAAAAAGAAAAGTTGGTTAAATTTTATCAGTTGTACTAGATCATAATAAACAAAAAAAATTACAATTGGTTATGAAAAGACTGTAATTAATTTTTATAATTAAACAAGTTTTCGTGGGCATGTAAAGAATTAAGAAAATTAAAAACCTGGTTTGGGTCTTCGCTAAATTTTAAAAATCTCAAGTCAAGTCTTACACGTCGGACTACATATTAAAAAAAAGTTTATGTTAAGTGCTTATATATAATGAAACTACTTTTCATGAGTGTAAAAATTCAAGATAATCCAATTTAGCAAAGATCTGAACCACCAGCACTCTCTATTATGGGTTCGGATCTTTGCTAAATTTTGAAAAAAATCGTTGATTAAATCTCGCACCGTGATCTAAATATTCGTGTTATCATATCTAAACAAATTGAGTATTTTATCGATATATATATATATATATATATATATATATATATATATATATATATATATATTCTTATCTAACAAATAACACTTTTTATCTATACCTCAAGTGCGCATGTTCAACAAGAAAGGTATCGTTTCATGATTTCACACAAAACAGTTTACAAAACATTTCATTACTATCAAAAATATTTTCCAATCAATATTTTTATGAATTTTATTTAATAATAATAATTAATTTATCTTATCTGAATTTTAGAAATTAATTATTAATAATAATAATTAATAATTGTTTTCAAAATGCAGCTGCTTCGATTTCGTTTTAACAGAAAGTTTTTGTTTTAATAATTGTTTTAGAAGATAATTTAGTTGTTTGTGGAAAACAGAAAGTTTTTGTTTTGATAAAGATATTTTAGTTAAATGAAAATTGGGTGGAATTTCTTTTATAGTACATACAATTTTTATATTTGTATCGATAGAGTTTTATAAATATTGCTATGTAGAAAGTGACTCATTAAAAAAAATAGTTTTTGTGTAAATACGGTGACAATGTTTTTCTCAGAGGACAATTTGAGTATTTTAGACCTCAATGTGGTTTTCTTAAGACGAGATTCGTACAAAAAGGCCATAGAGTTTTACAGATTTTGCGATGATTCTGATTGTAAGTGGAAAATATTTATTTATTTATGACAATATATAATAATGAATTTATTTAAATTACTTAAAACTAGTTGCAAGGCACTCACACACTTGATGCAAACTGTCTAGGATTCGGGACATTTTTTGTATTTATTCAATTTTTTTTTTTTTTTTAATTTCAATAATTATTACAACTGCTAATTTATTAACATCAAGTAATATTGATAAATAATAATATAAATTTAAATAAATAAAAGAGCAAAGGATAAAATTTACATGAAAATAATATGAAAATTTCGTTCAGGATACTTTGATGGTTTTAGCTTAGCAGAAACTAGATAAAATTTACTTAAATCGGGTATAAATTTCTATATATATACTCTGATACTAAAATTTTGATAAATTTGGTGGCAACACGCAATTATACTATCTATCTTGGACAATATATGGAATCCTGAACATTTTTTACACTTATTCAAATACTTAGAAAATTTTGTTTCGGGCACTCTGAACTTTTTAGCTAAGCAGAAACTAGATAAAATGTATTTAAATCTAATACAAATTTCTATATGCACTCCGATACTAAAATTTTAAATAAACTTGGTACAAACACGCAATTATCTGTTTTGGATAATATATGGAATCCATTATCTTTTTTCATAGTTATACAAATAACTTGAAAATTTTGTTCTAGACACTCTGATTTTTTTAGCTTAGCAGAAACTAGATAAAATTTACTTGAATCTCGTATATTTCTATATATACTCTGGCTTATATTATTGTAGTATTTCGTAAAATTTTGAATAAATTAGGTGCCAAGGTGCAATTACATTAACTAACAATTGGAAACAGATGGAATCCAGGAGATTTTGTTTATTTATACAAATACTTTAAAAACTTCGTTCAGGACATTCTGATTTTTTAAGCTAATTAAAAACTAGATAAAATTTACTTAAATCTAGTACAAACATCTATATATATATACTCTTATACTAAAATTTTAAATAAACTTAGTGGCAACGCGCAATTACACTATCTGTCTTAGATAATATACGTGGTCTGTTCAAAAAGTACCCGGAATTACTAATAATTAAATTTCGCGGGTCTGGAGTGTCTGATTGTCAAAATTTTTTTTTATTGTGTTGGTATACATGCCCCTAAAGTATGATGAAATTTTCAGCTATATTCACTGTTTACTTTGTCTGTGGTATTCGCTAAGGTTCGACGTGTTTTTCTGAGCTCGGCGATTTTTACAATGGAAGAATTGAAAAGTCAAAGAATTTGTATTAAATTTTGCGTAAAAAATGAAATAAAGTGTTGCAAAGTGCAAAAATTCACCAGATATGGCTCCGTGTGACTTTTTCCTATTCCCAAAGTTGAAGAGACCCATGAAAGGACGGCGGTTTTCCTCGATTGAAGGAAATCGCTGAGAGTGCTCAAGGACATATCGAAAAGTGAATATCAAGGGTGCTTCGAAAATTGAAAAAAACGCTGGCATAAGTGTATTATATCTGGGGGGGACTACTTTGAAGGGGACCACATTAATGTAGACGAATAAATAAATATTTTTTTGAAAAAACGAAAATTCCGGGTACTTTTTGAACAGACCACGTATATGAGATCCAGGACATT